TTTCTCTGACCCAGTGATTATCAGAACCAAATATATTCTGGGAAAAGACTAAAAGGCTAAGATTTGATCTCTATAAAAGAAATTTTAGCAGAGAATTCAGAGTTGGGGCAGAATTAGCCTACGAACAAACTATCCATAATTTTCACAAAATTCAGTAACTTGTCTCTTCAGTTCAACACATTTTCTTTAAAGAAATATTTCTCAACAGTACCATGGTCAACAAGGCATTCCGGAGACTTAGAGTAGAAAGGAATAAGGCTTTTATTGCCTGTGGCAAAACTCTGCCTACATTTATTTCCCTTCCCTTATCCTTTACAAGCACAGAATTCTGGTTTCTGTAAAGAACAATTGACCACAGGCCATTCACCACTGGCATCCCTGATAGCATTCAATTGGCTCTGCCCTTGTCATGGATGACGGATGCATACCACCCTACTCATAACACTTTGAATGGATTTGTTTGGTGTCACCTCAGATGGCCCAGGTCTTATCTGACTAGAATCCTCAGTCATATGTTCTGTTCCAATGGTGCCAAGGTGCAGGCTTATCTGGCCTTAAATGGGTATAACTCAATAATACCTCTCTGTTCTTGCCCTGGGGCATCCCTGTTAACTCTGGGCATCAGACATGACATTCATTTGGTCTCTACACTTGCAAAACTCAGAAGTGCAGGCTAATTCATTCCTGAGGTATTAACATTGATCACTGGGGAGATAAGAGTCGGCATTTTTTCTCCCATCCTCTATGCATACTGTCCTGAGATGAAGTTCATTTAACCTCTTTACAATGGTCTTGAGATATCAAGTAATCTCTTGTTACCTGATACCATGTGGAGGTCAGCTTGGTAACATACTTACAGTAGCTTTTCTTTCTTCCCTGCCTCACTCTTATCATTATTCGTGTTTTACTGGGATTGTGTTCCTTAGTAAGGTGATAGCTTATAAATTTTGCCTAATACCCTGCTTCCTGGAACACTCAAGCTCAGACTATCGATACTTTATCCATGGTCCTAGAATGCAGATCCTCAAGATGGCATTGCTTATCAGTTTAATGACATTGCCTCATTTTAGGTGGTAAGTGGGCAGTGATAATCATCCACTAGATTCATCACCATTTCTAATGGTCTTGCTGATGGTTAATTAGGATGCTGGAAAGGTGAAAGGCGAAACTTTAGGTAATGTGGTGGCTTTGCTTGAAGTTTGGGGCAATGATAATTTCATGGACTGAGGAGTAGGCAAGCCTTTCTAACAGCATTGGAAATGTCACAAAAAGACAGTTATAATCTCAGAGCATCCAACCCTCAATTTAAGACACACAAATTCAGAGCACCTCTCTAGCAGAATTTAAAGAAATTTCTATCTCCTTAATGCTTCAAGACCTACTGTGCTGAAAGTCAGGTAATTTGACAGTCAAAAGTCACATCCTTGGCAATGAAACTGACCCATCCTGTACTCCAAACAAGACAGGAAAACAGAAACAGTAGAAGCCCCCCAAAGGAACCTAAATGTACAACCTTGAGAGGTGTTTTGTATCAAAGGTGAAGACCTGACAGGGAAAGAAAAGCGTCCTAAGTCCTGGAGTGGGATAGTTGGGGGGACAAGACCAGAGAATCTTGGAAATCACTTTCCCATTATCCTGAATCCTGTAGGTTAATAGAAGTAGAATTCTCTACCTTCTTGCTAGAGAAGAACTTGCCTGGACACTGTATAACTTCTCCTCAAGCTTATGCCTAGAGAGATGATTTTGTTCTCCTTCAGTTCTGCCTCGCTGTCACCCATTGCCTCTAGGCTTAGCTCCTCACTGTTGTTGAGCTGATAACACAAGCATAGTCTGAACAATAAATATGATTCTTATTCCAGTAGAAGGCAATTTGTGTGCCTAAAAATCACAGAAGCTAGATAATAGTTTCCACAAAGAATCGGGGAAGATTTTATGAGAGTTGATTGTAAAAGTGCAAGACTAGGAAGGTAGACTATAAGGCAGGACAAGATTCATTGACATGGGCCTCTCATAGGATTCAATGTTTCAGGGAATGACCAGGAATTGGTCCTTATAGTCTGCTGGGATGTTGCTTTGAAGCTTGGTCATCATGATGGCCTGTAGTCAGTGAGATGATGACCCTACTTCTGCAGTACAATATTGAGGAAGGGATCAGAAGGCTCAGAGAGGTGGAAGTGCTAGGTTGTTTGACTATGGGAGACCTAAGAATATTCCACCTGGCAATCTTCACAGTTTATATAAAGCCCAGGAAGCCTTCCTTTCCCAAAGGTAAGAGTGAATGAAAAAGTGAGAGAAGAGTGGCATCTTTGAGAAGCTTAGGATGGCTGTTCTTAAAGAACAAAGATGGCAGAAGGTTGTGCTGCCATTAAATTATGCTCCTAATGATCACAAATTGGAAGGAATTTTAGAATGTCAAAAACAGCAAAGCAGTAATTAACTGTCACAGGCAAGAATGGCAATAATTACTATGTTGAGCAGTATGAGTAGAGTAGCAATCAGGGCACCTTAATCCACAGGGATCTGTGGTAGTTAACAATAGATCTCAGTGTTACCAGAGAGGTGAAGCAGATTAACAGTCAACTAAGATAGTGTTCAATTTGCATAACAACAAAAATTAATAGCTGGTTAGAAGAAGGATGACATCATATTTCACCGTGGAAAGGTTAGGTTTCTCAACCCATCCCCAGATACAAGTGATTTATGAACCCAGAGACCACTGGCCTATGACTGAAGTAGAGACCCGGTCCCTTGAGGAAGGACTTACTGTGCCACCACAAGCACATCCTTCTCCAGATAGACCTGGGTTTCTATTTCAGGGCAACTATGATGGGGGAAAGGAGAAAATGTAGTTTTTTTTTTGAGGAAAGTTATATAATAAAATCTGAGCTGATAGTGATACTGGAAAACTAGAAAACTAGAATAGTAAGTGAAGGCTCATGGAGAACAGGTAACAAATGGAGGTTTGAAAAAAATCCATGTCAGTATCCAGTGGTCTCATATTAACCCTATGGTTAGGTTCCCAGTCCCTGAATATATAATTCAGACTAATATATTCAGAGTCTGATAGAAGCCTTATTATGGTAACCTGACTCCGGAAGAAAGGTATATTAAGGTAGAAAAGCCACAAATAGAGAGCCCATCCCTAAAACTGGAACTTCCCCATCTCCAGGTAGGGGAGATTATCATCTTCAATTTATGGATAAGGAAATCATGTCTCAGAGAGATTAAATTATCTTGGCTAAGGTTTTATGGTTGGAATGACAAAACCAAGAATTGAACAATGTTCAGTCTGACTTTATAGCCTAATTTATCCAGTTCTTAAGTCTTTCCTATTTGGGGGTGGGGTGGGAGAGGCAATTTGTGTGCCTAAAAATTACAAGGAGGGGATTGAACTCAGAGCACTCAATCACTGAGCCACATCCCCAGCCCTATTTTGTATTTTATTTAGAGAAAGGGCCTCACTGAGTTGCTTAGCATCTTGCTTTTGCTGAGGCTGACTTTGAACTCTAAATCCTCCTGCCTCAGCCTCCTGAGCCCCTAGGATTGTAGGCATGTGCCACTGCGCCCAGCAAGTCTTGCCTATTTTGTGGTGCTTTTCTGTTCTTAAACTGGAATATATAAGACAATCTTGTTCAATTTCAGATTTTCTGATAACATTTGGTTACTCCTTTTAATTGATCCTATGTCTGTGCTCTTCTTAATATGAGAATCCTTTTAAAATTTTATTTATTAAAAAAATTGTATTTATACAAAACCCTTGAGCCAATTACTTTCAATAATGCTGATGGTGCCCATCATATACAGAAGGTTTGGAGGTAGGAATGATGATTCTTCACAACTGAGCCTTACCCTCAGGAGGTACTTTCCAGAATTTTACTTGAAGAGAGCCAAAGAATTAGTATCACATAAGGAAATAAAATTAATAATTTTGTAGGCAACTGCTATTAGCATCAGAATGTAGTAACCTGGTCTACCAGGATTTGTTATTTGGAAGAAATAAGGTTAAATACTTATCACACTGTATACTAAGATGAATTCTAGAGTTAGATGTACATTTTTAAAAAATTTAAGTGAAAATATAAAAGTAGTAGAAGAACTTAACACCAGATGTAGAGTGGAAAAACCCTTTTCAGAATAAAGGACAAGAAAGAAACAATAGATGAAAATACTGGTGGATCTATTTACATGAAAAATTTAAAGTCCCTGTTGTGAAAGCCATCAGAAAGAAAATTACCAGGAAAACTGGAAATTCTGAAGAAAATCTTAATAGATAGAAATGATTACAATCAATCTATTTATTTATCTACTAGTCAACAAAATGTATTGACTAGATGATGGAGATGTGACAGCAAACAAAATAGCCATTCTTGGAGACAGACATAATATGGAAGGTAGCAGTAAGTTCCAGAGGGAACAATGAAGTGAGGAATATGATTAAGGGCTTCCAGGAGGGAAGGCATTTCAGTTTTTAATTGATGGAAGGTTTGGAGCCAAATCCAAAAAGACTTGGGAAAAAAAGATTTGGGAAAACTCCAAAGGACACTGGTTCCCCTCATTTATACTGAGTTGTACTTGATGGATATGGTCCCGGTAAAAGGCGTATTTTAACAGAAGCCACAGCCTGAGTCAAAGGAACAGATGATGAAAAGCGGAACAAGTGGTCTGGGGAGGATGACATCACTTTAGTACAGGGAGGGTTTTGAATGTTTTATGTTGTATAAGCAGTTCCTTGATTTGTCATTTCTGATTTGTGAGTAGTGGTTCTCAACTGGCAGTGATTTTGTCCTCCAAGGGGACCATTTGGCAATGTCTGGAGACTCTGTCAGAATTCTGGAGAGAAGATGCTACTGTCATCTAAGAGCTAAAAGCCAGGTGTGCTGCTAAATGTCATGCAATGTACAGAAAAACCCTTCCTTCAAATCATCTAACCCAAAATATCAATCATTTTAATAACTCTGATTTACTCAAAAGTAAAGAAAGGAAAGAGAAGAGAACCTTACCAAAGTTGGCTCTGGAGTATTCCATGTAGAGAATTTCTTATTAGAAAAAGGGACCAAGTAGATGTCACTGAATGTCAGGAATGTCTCCCTAATGAGCAAAAGACAAAAGACCCAGAATTCAACTTCTATTGTCTTCTGACTGAAGGGTACACTCACCTGATTTCTGTGACTCATGATGTTCTTTAATTTTATTTCAGTTGTTACACAACAGAATAAAATATAATTTTGCCTGAAAGCAAGGATAAAAAAAAAGCTAGGGGGCTGGGAATGTAGCTCAGTGGTAGGGTGTTTGCCTAGCATGTGTGAGGCTCTAGGTTCAATCCCTAGACTGCCAAGAAAAATTCATATATATATATATATGAATTTTAAAGCTATATGATGTTAAAAGCATTTTATCATTGGTAAGATGTTTAAACTGGCATTCCTAACCTGCCTTCTCAGCTACTGACTTCTTTCCTAATAGGTCCTAAGCTTGGAATTCTGGGAGCTTCATTTTACTTATTTATTAATTCTGTTAATTGTTGTAAAAACAACTCAACTTTGAAAAAAAATCAAAATCCCACCCTCCTATTACACTTATTCCCACTCTGAGAGTGTGACCCACCACGATCTTCTTGAGTGTTGTTAGAGTTCATGCTTACATGGATGCTTGCCATCCTCCACTCTGGGAAGTTCTCCTCTGTGCTTTGTTCTTGGCATCTACAGGCACGACAGGAAAAGGAAGTTCTTAGAAGATAAATGAGCATCTAGACCGGCAAGCCTGAAGTCAGTCCTTTCCGAGCAGGTACACCTCATGATGACATTACTATTCTTATAATTTTAGGGAGAATATTTTTCATGGACACTTCCTGAGTTGCACATGAAAGAATGATTAGTAGTTAACTCTATTTCAGAAATGAGGATAGCCTAGGAAAACCAGAGATGAAGCCATAAAGTAACAACAATATTACCTGAATTTCTGCCATACCCTTCTCTATAGACTTTCCAAGCATTCATTCATTTAATCTTCATAAGAATATAAGTAGGTTCTATTATTGTATCTATTCTATAAATGTGGAAATGAAGATAGTGAAACTCAAGTGTTCAGCCAAGTTCACAGAGCTAATAAGTGGAAGAAAAAAACCCAGGGAGTAGAGTGTCACCTTACAGTCAGTATGGTATACTTTAACTGTGCTTCCCTCTATGTCTGCTAAAATAGAACAGATCATCTTATTTAGGGCATTTTCAGAGGGGGTATAAGCCAAAGCATGATTATAACATCATTCCCCATCCACATATCACACATTGGTGTCCAAACACTAATAAATGCTTAGTGGTTTTTCAATTTTAAGATAGGAGGATGTTACCCTGGAAAGTGACATGTGTCACTGCTTATGTCCATTGGTAGCTTTAGTGAAGGACATTGTGAACTCCAACTCTAACAGGAATTCTAAGAATATCAGAATAAATGGATAGGAGAAAATCACCAAAAGTAAAACAATTTTTTTTTTTAAAAAAAACTTCCAAAAGCTGAAAAACAATGAGTCTTTTGATTAAGCATGTTCACTGTGAATGCTCAGCACAGGAATCTAAAAAAAAGATTCATACCAAGAACACTAGAAATACAGAGAAGGTACCAAACTCATCCCCAGAAAATCAGGGAACATGAAAGTGTTAGGAGCTGGAATGGTGTTGGACTTCTCAAACCACAATATTAGAAGTCAGAAACAAGCAAGCAAACAGACAAAAGTCCTGAAAATACTGAATAAAAATTGTCTTCAAGTGAAATTTTCAACCTAGTCTAATGATATAAAGGCTTGATACAAAGCAAGTTCTCAAGCACCCTTTCCCAGAAGCTGCTAGAGAAGATTCTTTGCTGAAGAGATGTTGTAAAACAAGAAAGGAAGACGAAAGATTGATGATGGAGAGTCAAAGCAACAGCAGCCCAGTGACAGGGCTGGGGAGTAATCAGTGCATGTGTTCTACAGGACAGAGGTTTGCTAGAGGAAGGCATTCACAGGACAAATACCGATGAGCACCTGTCAGGTCCACTGGAGCATGGAAACATCCATGAGTTCAGGAAAACTCCAGAAGAAACAAAATTATATGAGAAATTAAGTAAAATCCTAGCGCATCCTCTTTCTCTACCACCTAACTCAGCACAGAATAACCTTTTCATTATATTATATTGCATCAATATAATGTAAACACTGGTTATTGACTTAACCAAATAATGATCTAGTTCTATCTTCCCTTATTCTAAATTCTGAATCTAGAAGAGCTATGAAAAGCAATAGACTTTTTAAGATTAAAGCTACATCATTCGATGGAAAAATGTGATCTGAATTGACATGAGTCTATTTACAGTCCTTATTTATCCCACTTGCTATCAATATTCATATGTTTTGTTGCAGAAATATAATGTGTTTCATTAGGGAGTGTTGCCTCAGATCCCTCTGGGGGTGTTAAGTAATACATCTTAATATGGTCTATGAACATATTAACTTTTTGAAGTCCTCCAGATTTTGAATTCTGAAATGCATCTGGCCCCAAGGGTTTGGAGAAGGGATTGAGGACCAGTATAAATTTATTGAGAGAATGAAGGCAGGGAGGGTACATCAAGAAGGGAAGGAGCTGCTCTGTATGACAGCTAAATTCTCAAGCAGAGTGTAAAGAATAACAAAATATAATTTTATACAGGAAAATGTAGGCACACAATAGAATAAACAGCAAATAGAATTGGAAGTAGTTCCCGTGGGGAACAGTCCAAGGATAGAAAAAAGTGCAACAGAGAGCTACTATTTTCATTATAAGCCTTTTTATTATTATTTGATGTTTTAAACTATGTCTTATTTTGATAGAAAATAAAAAATAATTAAAAAAAATCAATCACCCTTCCCTCAGGATCACACAGGTTAGAATGCCAATAAAATCAGTATTCATTTCCACTTTTAAAGATACATAAATGAAACTTCATATTCATTTCAAGTATTTAGAGTTAGTATCTGGGGGAAAGGATACCCAGATACTAACTCTAAATATTCAGCTTAAAAGAGGCTCAATAGCTACACATTCATTAATCATTAATTATATTTAAAAAATTTCATCATAACAAAAGCACCTAACCATCTAAAAATATATAGGAAAAAAACATAAATATTTTTCCTGGGGACATCAAAGAGGAAACCTAAGCTGCTTTCTTTCTTACTTTCATTTCCAACAGTTCAATTTAATCACATGAACACAAGACTTCCAAGATCATTCCAGGCTGTTTTACAGCAGCATTGCCAATGCAGTTCTTTGCCTGAGCTTATTGATTTATTTTCACATAGGTTTTTTTTTTCAGTGCCTATTTCTGAACTCCTAAATCTTGAAACATGTAAGAAATTACAGATGCGTTTCAAATTTTACTCATGTCACTTATCGGCATATCCTTTTACTTGGTGTGTATAAGTTGCATTATTGTTTACTATTTTGTCTTCATTGAATATCAAGATAGAGAGACACAATCCTGGTAATTTAAAGTATGTAAAACTAGAGTAAGGACCCAAAACACTCCTGAGAGAAGCCACTTTTAAAATTGGGCGGTTTTCTTCTATGCATGAATTGAAAAACACACTGCTGGAACATGTCCACTTTCTTGGTGAAAAGTAGAAAGTGTTCAGAGAAGTCTGAAGTGTGGAATTCGGTACTAGCCTGGGTTCAAATCCCTTCTGTCACTTATTATGTATTTGTTTTTGACAAGTTACCTTCCCTCTTTGAATCTCAGTTTTCCTTTTTTAAAATATTTCCTCCTTCTAATCCAGGTCTCAATTGTACACTGTTGACATTTGGGGCTGGGTACTTCTACATGTAAAGGTCTGTTCTGTTCATTGAAGGGATTCTATTCACTAGATGCCAGTACTCCAATCCCTGCTGTCATTGTAACAACTGAAAATAATTTCTAGAATATTGAAATGTCCCCTGGAGAAGAAAGCACAGTTACTGAGAACCACCCTGCTAACCACTCATGTCAATTGCAACCATCCATTATTCAGACTTTGCAAAGATATTGTTATTCAAAATCTTAGCACATGCAATCACTCAGTTAAGCACAAATAGAATACTAGATTTACAGTGGTGCCCCCCTTATCCTCATGGGTATGTTGCAAGACCTCATCAGATGCCTGAGACCATTGAAAGAACAAAACCCTACATTTACTATGGTTTTTCCTATAATTAGTTTATAAATTAGGCACAGTTAAAAATTAACAATAACTATAAACTAGAACAATTATAACAATATAATGTAAACAAGTTATATGACTATTTTTTCTCTGCCATTGTATCTCAAAATATCTTATTAGACTGTATTCATCCTTCTTCTTATGTTGATGTGAAATGACACAATGCTTACCTGATGAGATGAAATGAGGTTAATGACATGGGCATTATGATATACCATTAGGTTACCATACAAGGATCATTTGATCCCAAGCACTGCAATACTGCAACAATTGATTGGTTATACAAGACAACTACTAAATGACTAATGGGTGGGTAGTGTACATAGCATAGTTACACTAGACAAAGGGGTGGTTCACATCTTGGGCAGGATGGGGGGTAGCACAAGACTGCATCATGATATTTGGAATTATGCACAATTTAAAACTTGTGAATTATTTATTTTTGGAATTTTCCACTAAGTATTTTCAGACCCTAGCTGACCATGAGTATCTAAGGTCTTGGAAAAATTAAACCATGAATAATGAAGACTACTATAATATTATCTTAATTATTTTCAGTGATCACAGGGAAGATGAAAAATACAGTAGGGAAAGGTTATGTCTAAAAGAACAAACAGACCCCAAAGAATTTTTTACCTTCCAGAAGGCCAATAATTTAAAGAACTTTAGAGATTGTATATAATAAAACATCATTATATGGAAGAGGAAAGCAAAGGCAAAAGTACAAGGGTTATCCTGAGAGATTGCTGAACCTGCCATCTGCACCATATTGAATAATATGAAGCACACCTCTGTCCTTATAACTAGAGACTAGCTAATGTGTTATGAAAGAGTTAAGTTGAGAAAGTAAAAATAATTGAGTGTAATAAAAAGTATTTTTATTTTCCTGTATAGAAGCAAATTTAGGGAAGATGAGCAGAATTTTTTTCTGTAGGTGTTAGCCTCTAACTCAGGAATCAGCCACCTAGCCATTTGATTTTAACCTTTTCTGGAGTGATAGTAACTCTCTAGCATCCTTTCTTTGAACAGCTTGATTCCCATTGGTTCAAAGACAATCACATCCACTGCCTCAGGAAGTGAGACTTCTTCAATTCTTCCTGGCAAAACAATGATCTTGTCTGAAAGGTGATTATTTTTCATTAGCTTCTGAGAAAGATAATAGGGTACCAATGTTGTTGCTGTTCAGAACCTTATGAAAAATAAGTTCAACAAATTAGAGGTCATGATAGAAGGGACAAAGGAGCAACATCTTAATTTCTTGAAATGTTTCTAAAGGAAAATAACTTGTTTTTCTTACTGCACAAATATTTAATTGTTTATTATAGATAATTAGAAGAAGATGCAGATAAGAAACAAAAATATGTACAATCCTACCGCATAGAAATGATAACTATTATGTTCTTTTGCATGCTCTTCAGACAAATACATGTGTGTATGTGGGATCTCAAGGCCTGTGTGAGCATGGATACACACGCAAATATACATTTAGTGGGG